ATATATATATATACACAACATACATATATACACAAGCGTAATATTCACACGAAAAATACAAGTATGTATTTACAAGTATAAAAATTTACAAGTATTACATATACATACAAATATGTGTTTCTACAAGTATAAAACATACATATGTATACAAGTTATGGATATACAAGTTGTATACATATGCAAGCATAAAATATACTTATTAAATTAAATTACTACACGTGCATATAATTTCTATTCGCTGTTTCAGCATAATGTCATTTATATTGTTCATGTCATTCTGTCTCTCCTTGCCACGCTGAGATAAAATGATAATCAAAAATTTTCTGATTCTCTCGCGCGTATTGTTATAGTTACGACACAGAGAACGGGATATCCGTGGCAGAGCAAGGTGTTCCAAAGTTCGCCGGTCCAAATCAAATTGAATCGGTACGAGGGCAATTCAGTTACACCGCGCCGGATGGCACGCCGATTTTGGTTACTTACACGGCTGACGAGAATGGCTTTCAACCAACCGGTGCACATTTACCAACGCCGCCGCCGATACCAGTAGCGATACAACGTGCTTTGGCGCACAACGCGGCTCACCCTGAGGAAGAGGATCCCTATAGAAGATACTGAAGTCCAAGATGAAACGTCGCGAAATAAATTGGAACAGTACAACATAAGACAACTTAGACGAGTGACTTTCAAAATCGTGAGCAATCCTCTTTGACAGATGTATCATATCAATTTGCATAAAATTCGGCTCTCAGAATATTTTTGAGATAATATTTTCAAAATTAATGCTCTGATTGCATAGTTATTAAAAAAAAAATTAACAAAGAAAAGTACAATATTCATATGCTTTAATATCTCTAAATATCCACCGTGGTAAATTTACAAAATTTCTGTAGAAAGTTGCAAACTGATCATTTTGGCTCTGGTAATTTTAGTGTTAAAAATCTAAGATAATTTTCTATCGTCTCCTAATGTCACAGATTCGTTACAAATAACTGTTTCTTTCGACACAGTGATCCTTCTGACTTCGAAATATCGTCGGCAGATTGTTCAATGATTTTGGAAAATATTTTTGTAAGATCTTGTGTCAACAAAAACAACACGTCGAGGTGTTGAGTATATCCTCTCTATGTTGTATTGTCTAACATGGTTCTAATCTACTGATCGTATTGACCTTATTCTAAATGCCTGCCACGAACATCATGTACTAGAATGTCGCTTTATAAATCCTAATACGAAAAGACTACTGCTAATTTTAATAGACTTGTATCTCTTATGTCCTTCAATCTCATTTGTTATATAATACATTATTTCTTTGCACATGACTAAAGTTACTTTTTTGTACACGTACTTATTTTATATATATATACGTAAGTATATGTATTATGTGTATATCAACAGAGGTGCAAAGAGAAAATGTTGGAACGAGAGAAAAAAGAAAGAAAAGGACACGCGAATGCTACATTGTACTACGCTAAATGTATTTTATTATAATGTATGCTATGTATGTGTTAAATAAATATCGATATGAATATCAAAGTGATTTTATTGCATACTATATTGTGATTTACATTTTGAAATTTCCCAGAAGATGAAACCATCGAGAAGTACTCGATCTCTCATTGTTTTTGTTATGAATAAACACTAATTTCTTTCTACTGATTCTTTAAGTAATTTTAATATTGTTTAAATTTAATATTGTTCGATATTTAATATCCTTTAAATATTTAGAATATTGACAGATAACCTCAATAATAAAATAATTGGTTTAGGTTAGGTTTATTTATTAAAGGCTCAAGAAAAATGATACATTGTAATGTATTGAATAAATGTATCAAGAAATATATATCTAAAGAATGTATTCTTGATTTGTTTGTACACTTCTCGTTCAATGTGAAACTTTCAGATTTCTGGTAATTTTGAGCACTTAAGGATTTAAATTTCTTTTAGCTTGATAACTACTGTCGGTAACAGACTTAATTTTATATATTGATTACCAGTAACCAAATATGAATATCTTGTTGGTCGATGGCAAAGAAGAAAACATTTTTTTGTTACATTCGATGATCAATACCATGACATTTTTATTTTATCCACAAAAGTAAAAATTAGCAAGAAATTAGTGCCGCGTTGAAATTCTTTCTTTTGTATTTGATTAATAAAAGTTCTGGAAGATCATACATTTTCGAACAGATATTTAAATAATGTAAAATATAAAACTTGGGAATTTTTTTTTTTTTAATTAGCATAATTTACAGAATTGAACGCAAGTACAGGCAACACATTGTTGATCTATATTTAATTATTTTATTTATTTTTATATTAAGAGCAAAACTAAAACCATAGTATTTCCAAAAAATCTATTTGTCATCAATTTTTCCAGAGCAAAATAAAACATTGCTACTCTCTCTATTTCCAAAAAAATAAAAGTTTCTTATTTACACAAAAACATATAATGATATGCCGAATTTTATCATTTTAATACAATTGTTAATTTTCTGAAAAATAGAATTTTAATTATAAGATGCTACATTCATTCTCCGATCATATGCACGATTCTCAATTTAGAAAAGAGATATTTCTTAAATATTACTTGACAGACTGTTACTTTGCAAAAATTTATACCAAGTTTCTTGTTAATTTTAGCATTATCAGCGCATCGAAGTCGAACGTTAATTACATAATTGAGCCTACACTTATTTATCTGACGTACGTGCCTATAATAAGACTGATTTACTGCAATTGTACACTTTTCTCCGAAGTTTAAATCAGCAATCCTATAATCATGACCAAACGTTCTCACATTATATCATGTGACTACAAAATCCGGGTTGTATTGGCATTTAACTCTTAGATTTTTAACAATTTTATATTTCACACATGGGATAGTCTGAAATATAAAATACAAACTCTGCATCAGAAAAATAAATTCAGACGCAAGCCTCTATTCATACGTTTTTGCAAGGAAATCATTGAAATTTCTGAAATTACTTCATTCTACGTTTTGCAAAATTTCTACAAAATTTTATAATTAAAAGTTACGAAGTTTATGAAATTTTCATGAGATGTTATCAGAGCTGGAATGAAAACTGTCAATTTTTACAATTAAGAATTATTAAGTATAGCTGTAGAAGTTGAGCTTTTCACTTTTTAAATCATTTCCTTTCTGTTTTAAGATGTTAATTACACTAATAATGGGAAACACTTCGAAAATGTCATGAACATACTATAGATATTTTCCAATTGAACTGCAAACGCAAGAATAAATAATAAAAGTTCATATCCTATCTGAAGTCAAGAGCATAACATGTATTATTAGACTGTTGCACGTGAAATTGTTGTTAAGTGACCTAATACTTATCAAGCTATTAATTTAAAGCTTGAAACTAGCCGAATACAATCAATATGTTTTATTATGATTTATATACTATATTTATGTATTAATTTATTATAAATGTATTACTGGATATTTATTATAAAATTATGAATGAATATAAATATAAAATTAGAATTATGAATGATCGTCAAGTTTCAATGAACTTTTGATAAAATTTATAACTTCGTTAGAATAAACAACAAAATAAAAACGAAAGATGTTCAACTATAAATTTCAATTATGATAATTATAATATTGGTCAAAGATGTGAATAAACGAGGAAAAATTCCACGAACGTTGCAATTATGTTAAATCTATGTAAATACTAATTTAACATGACAAAATAAATTTGATCACTTTTTTTCAAATTTGAAATTAATTAAAATCTACATCTTCTTTTTTTCTCAAAAAAAAAAAGTCGCGTGCGCTTTAATATATTTACTCGGCCGAACTCTGTATAATTGAGTGATGTACAAGTATTTACAAACAATGATTGAGCAACTTGCAAATATAAACAAACGTGAAAAGAGAATACCATCGTTTTCACATTTTACCGCTACTTTACAACTGTCAGAGAGGGCCATTAATCGGTGATAATTACATAGGCTTAATAAGTGCGAGATTTTAGGGAGAATGATCGAAATGTCAGTTGAATTAATGCTAATAGTAATCGTAATATCACGTTAAAGGTGAGTCAGTGAAAGCAAATCATCGGTCTCTTGTCCATTGCACAACCGATCGACCGACCGACCGACCGACCGATCGTAGAAATGGTAAAAGGATTCGATGCATCTTCTATATTCTGCACTATCTTGCCGATCAGATCCTATGGTTTTTTATTTTGTCTTAAAATTATTATATAGTATATTATTTTATACTAAAATTATTATTATATATACATATACTTGAATTGAATAGCTCTTAAATTTTTTACAAATTATTTCAAATTATGAATTCATTGATCAACGTTCTCATTTCATTTAATTTCATTGTTTTTTCAATTAATTTATTTCGACAATTTAATACTTTCATTATTATATCATTGAGGTACTTGTGATACATATGAAACATTTATACATACATATATAATATATATGTATATTTTATTAAAAATTATTCAAGTTTAAA